GAATTAGGACAGTGGTTCGAGATAGAAGGAAGGGGTCATTTAGCATCATCGAGTTCGGTTCGCAAGTTCACTTTCTGGGTTGTTCTCAAACTTCCACTACCTGCACCGCGATGCGAAACTTTTGCGTTGTTACGTTACTCTCAGCGTTAAGATGGAACTTTATTCCGTGCGAAAGGAGAATTTTCCTGAGTGTCGAAATGTTCCTCGAAGAAAATCAAATTAAGAAATATCGTGCTTTTCGGGAAAGGTGCTGCTATTGGATCAATTTTGTAAAAAGAAAATGTACTTCTATCGTCATATTTTATATTTATACGTTGATATAGAATTTTCCATATATTTGAAAGAAAAAGGACCTTTTACACTCCAGAATAATACTTTCCACCCTTCACTACATCAGAGGTATATTCTTTCCACCAAGAGGTATATTCCTTTTGCGCTTGATCGGGTACCACGGTACCGTTAAATTTAGCATTTCCATCACAATGCCATTTCACACTACTTAACCGAAAAATGTCTCTCTTTACCTTCGCGCCACATTTTTATATGACAAAAGGGTAGCGCGCCTGTCTCTCACGTCCGAAACGACTTATTTTCCACGTTGCGCGAAGATACAGTAAAATGGGGAACCTTTCCGAAGAAGAAGAAGAAGAAGAATATCATCCAATTTTCAGTGTAATCTAGAGAACGCCCTGCTATGATCCGGGGAGACGAGTTTTCAGATAACAAGTGAAGGCTGAAATTGTACCCAGAGTGCCATCGCATTTCGAAGAGTTTCAATGTTGGAATTCGTTGGAACGAGCAGAGAAATCCTGCGGGTCTCGGAAGACTTTCGCGATATTAAGGGAAAAGAGCCGGTCACAGCTCCTTCAACCGAAATCGTTGTCCCAGTTCCGTGGAACAGCCACTAGCGTACGAAAGCCAATTTCTTACCACTTTCAAACTTTCCTCGCCAAATTTCTTTGTGTACTTCAAACTCGACGCGTTACACTAGCTGTACACGATCGCAATGGAAAACTGAAATTTTCTTTATAACGTCGCTTCCATATTGTCGAGCTCGTGTCTTCGAAGAAACTTGGTTTTCGCGCACATACGAGAACTAAAGATACGGAAACGTTCTTGAAAATGAAATTCTTGTCCCAGATTCGCTGTAATCCCGAAAATTCTCTCTAGACACGCATTTTGGTCCGTTTTCACGAAGCCACGCGATATCCCTAGCATGTTCGCTGAATGCGTGTATTATGTACGAGGTTTTATTAAATTATTTATGAAAGGAACTTTCGAATTTTTCACAACGACGAGGGGCGATTCTTTCAAATGTTTTCCAATTATACGGATCGGGGAATTTTTATCTCGTGATCGGTTCAGGTGCTTCCAAGGTTCGTGTTCGTCGCGAGTAAAACACTTATGGTAAGTACTACGGTATTCCGTGTCATGGTGGAATATGTTCTTTCATATTGCAGTGATGCTTTTGATATTTATGAATGGACTTTCGGGATGGAGCGGAGCGATGCACACACACTTTGACGCTTTCGAAGAATGGTATACTTAGAAATGGCGATAAATATTTGATGCGGTAAATGGAACACTCTTGGTTCTAGTATAGTGCTACTTTTATCATCGTTTTCTTTTCAGGCCTAGAGCCTTGGTATTGATACAGCAGAAAGATATTTTAATTATTCGAGTGATAGCCTCCCTTGCATCGCAGGTTTGATATTTTTAATAATTTAAAATTAACAAGGAAATAGTTCCTATAACGTAGAAAGAAACTCTTTTCTTTTTAATTTGCCCTATACTCGTTTTCTTCCAATTTTGCAAATAAAATATCTTCTTCGTAGCGCAATAGCGTCATCTTCCCTTCACAAGCAAATTTACTTCTCACAGTTTGCTATTTCCATTTTTACGAATACGCTCCTTGTACTATTTTAGTGTTTCGATTCCCAAAAGACATTTTGCTTATTTTATTACGAAACGTTCAGTGTTTCTTATTTCATTACGTTCAATGTTATTTAAAAGATACTTCTACACATTTGAAACAACTTTAAGAGAAGATCTGTTAAGCCCTTTTCCAAACTTTAAAAAACATACATCGAACAAATCGAGTATTGCTGAAATAAGCGATCATAAATTTTCAGAAGGTCTCAAGAAGCTGACAGAATCGTAAATCGCGATATCGGTCAACGAGTTCCAACCTAACGTTGTCGTCAGCGCCAAAGCCACCCTTTTCTTTGGTTTTTTCCGGTCTCTGGACAGAAGATTGCCCAGAGGATCGAACCGAAAAGTTTGAACGTGTCCCACAGAGAAGGAAAGAAAGATTTGAATTCCGGAATTTTAGTGGAACCTCGAATAGAAATTGAAACGTCCACTCGGCGGACCTTTACCCTTTGATTGTCGTTCTTCGGCTACGTTTCACGTTTCACGTTTTACTGGTCAAAGAACGCGAACGGTTCGCGAATATTTCGCTATCATATAGCTTTTACGAGTTGCGAGAGACTAAAAATTGAAGAAGAACGAGCGAGAATTTTTCATCGGTTCGCGGAAATTGTTCTTTTAAAGAAATAGTTCAGGTTTGAAACGTGGAACATTTGAAACGAGTATTTATTACAGTCATCGATAAATAATATCGATAAAAGTAATATTCTTCGAGTATTCGAAGAATATTGGAATACTTCGATGGTATTTGGTACACGTGACGTTAATGTTAACGTAGTTGAAGGATGAATCCCAGAGCGAGTCACAAGGGAGAAACTATCTACCATACAAGTCATGCCAAGCAAGATATAAACGATCTGTGTCCCTGGTCAATTATAAATCGAGAAAATCAGGCTTACATCGTTCTACCAAGAAACTAGGTGACTTTAAAGTTTACTGGAAATAGTTTAGCGAAAGTGGATACAAGCATACCGGCTTCCATACGAGCTGGCGAGCCATCGGGCACAGTTTTGCCCTGGGACTTCGGCGTACTCTCGCTCATGCTTTTGCCGCGTCTTTGATCCTTCGAAGCTGAGTTAACGTAAACCGCCTCTTGCAATCGCCACCTAGACGTCTTCTCGTCTCCCTGTTTACGACCTAGAACCCGCCTTCCCTTGGAATCCTTCGATCGTGTTTTGTTCGACGGCACTCCGTCTCCTTTCGCGCGACTGTCCTCTTCTCCCTTTTTCGAGGTTTTTAGGCAGGTAACTAGGTATTTGGCACTTTGAATCGTTTCTCCTCGAACTCTCCACTAGTCACTTTAGTCGACGAATTCTTGCGAACCCTCTGGAGAACGGGTCGGACCACTTTCGAAATATTTGACTTCTTTTCGAAAGAGTAATTTTATTCGGAGGAAAACGACGGAATGCACAAGTCGGGGACGACGAGGCCAAGAGGAGTGACGAGTACACGCACGCCGGGTCCGGACGAGTCTCGCGGAGGGTGTGTTGTCTCAACGCTTCAGTCTCATCTTCCGCATCCCTCCTTCCGTAGCACACGGGCTTGGGTTACGCTTATCGTGTCGCGGTGTCACAAGGTCACGGGATCAGCGACGGGATCGGCTGG